CGTTATGTCTCGTTAAAATGGCTGTAAATTCCGGGAAATTTTAAGGTACCTATTTTAACCGGGACGTCTCGTCTCGTCTCGGTATCGTCCCGGAATTCCAACGGAAGGCTGAAAATTGTCCCGGTTTTTATTGCGAACCGGGACAGAGCCTGTTGTCTCGTCTCGTCTCGTCTCGGATTAAAAAAAATACCAAACGCAGGAGTCTAATATTAGCAAGGCTTTAGCTTCAGCCAGCAAACGTGTTGCTAGAGTGGCTGGCGAGTGACTGACTATCGGTGCTGAAGGCACAGTAGAGAACCGCAAGTGTGATGTCACTGAAGGTGGCACACACAATCAACGAACAGCTTAGGATGTCGGTCAATACCGGACAGAAAAATCAAATTAAATTCAAATTAATTTTTAGATTAAACATCATTTTCGTCCTTTTCTTCGTTGAATTTTCATTTTCGACTCTTTATTGTTGCGTTCGTGATACTTAGGTCTGAGTCTTGCTAATTTAATAATAATAATTTCTAATTTACTTACAGATCACGCGCTTCTCAACTGCCAATATTCCTGCGCCACATGCACCCGTTCCTGCAGAAGCAGCAGCTCGACTACGGCATCTTCGTCGTGGAACAGGCAGGTACGACTACCTGCTGGTTTACATGTAACACGAACCTGTAGTTTACATGTAACACGAACCTGTAGTTTACATGTAACACGAACCTGTAGTTAACATGTAACACGAACCTGTAGTTTACGTGTAACACGAACCTATATTTTACATGTAACACGAACATGTAGTTAACATGTAACGCGAACCTATAGTTTGCATGCAAAACGAACCTATGGAATACATGTAACACGAACCTGTAGTTTACGTGTAATACGAACCTATATTCAGAGCTGGGCAGCGCTACATTGAAATGTAGCGGCGCTACCGCTACACCCACTAGATTGTAGCGAACGCTACCGCTACCGCTACAGTAAAATGTAGCGCCGCTACATTAGCCGCTACAATGGCCAAAATTATTGGAAATCTCTAAATATTTATTGTTTTGTTATGGGGATTTACTCATAAACATTTAATGATAATAAAACATTTTCAAAACATATCAATGCAACTTTATTGCAATTAACCAAACTGAACTAGTGCGGGTTAGATACAGTAAATAAAAGTTACAGTTATTTTTATGTTTTACCTTCCCTACATGGATGTTGGGAAGGTAAAACAAAGCAAACCTTCCAAGCAAACTGAAACATGAAAAAATACGGTACCTGGTAACAACTAACACGTTGACACTAGTAACAGGCTGAGGTTGACAACATTACACTGAAATCTACAGTTTTATTCTGTAATTTATATTATGTATGTATCATGCTGGTTTTTAGATAATATTTAATACTATTAGGTAAAATCTAAAGGCTTTATATATAAATGTAGCGGTAGCGCTGTAGCGGCAAAACCTCGTATCGAAGAATAAAACTGTACGAAAGATTTCGGTGTAATGTTGTCAACCTCAGCCTGTTACTAGTGTCAACGTGTTAGTTGTTACTTGTTAAGTTGTTACCAGTTACGACTCACAGGAATTTTTTTATGTTTCAGTTTGCTTACAGTTATTTTTATGTTTCACCTTCGCTACATGAATGTCTACTTTAATCTACCAATCTCAAAAATAGTCCACATCTATAGACAGATAAAAGACTGATTTTTAGCGCATTTTCCCATTTATGAAAAAAATGCACTATTGTGCTCGCCATGTCCGTCTGTCTGTCCGTCCGTGACTTCATGTAATTGTCGACGAGAAAATGTGCTCTATGTCACTCACTGCAGTGAGTACTGAGTTATATTTTTTTATATGTATATGTGGATCAATTTTTAGATTGGTAGATTAAAGTACACATCCATGTAGGGAAGGTAAAACATAAAAATAACTTTAACTTTTATTTACTGTATCCAACCCATACTAGTTCGGTTAGGACGTTAGGTTAATTGCAATAAAGTTGCATTGATATGTTTTGAAAATGTTTTATTATCATTAAATGTTTACGAGTAAATCCCAATAGCAAAACAATAAATACTTAGAGATTTCCAATAATTTTGGCCATTGTAGCGGCTAATGTAGTGGCGCTATATTTTACTGTAGCGGTAGCGCTCGCTACAATCTAGTGGGTGTAGCGGTAGCGGTAGCGCCGCTACATTTCAAAGAAGCGCTGCCCAGCTCTGCCTGTAGTTTACATGTAACACGAACCAATATTTTAATTGTAACAAAAACCTATCTTATGCCAGGAACTGAACATTTAAATGCATTTTAATTTTTCAGCATGCTGCTCGCGGCAGCTCAGACCTGTAGCTTTTAGCTGGATGTTGTTCCTGAGTTCAGTTGGGCTGGCTCTAAATCAATGGCTCTGAAATTGAAGGCCATCTTTTTATTTGTACACATAAATTACTTACGATACAGAAGTGAGCAATTCTGTGCTGGAGAGAATTTAGAACTCGATGATGAAGAAAATTAAATCAAATTGTGTAAATTTCACCTCAGTTTGTGTATGTTTTTTTTTGGCATAGTTTAATTTTCTCCCAATTCATTTAACAATTAAATACAATAATTATGTCAAATCGAAAAAGAACTTTTGGAGAACTTAAGGGAATTATTAGAGGAATGATATTACCAATACCTACCGATGGAATGCCGATGTATTTCGCTATATAAAATAGCGAGCTGTAAATCGTCTTGTTCACTTTAGTTGCCGTGGTTTACTTAGAACTCTCCAACTCAATACCATTTTGATTCACATATTGACCATTTCTCCGGCTAATTAACTTATCGTCACATTATTCCTTCTCTGCTTAGGGTGACACGTTAAAATGAAATATATTTAAAGGTAAAAGAGAGTTCAACCGTGCAACACTTCTGAACATTGGGGCGCTGGAGAGCATGAAGCTGTACCCCTACGACTGTTTCATCTTCCACGACATCGACCTGCTGCCTGAAGACGACCGCAACTTGTACGCCTGCCGTGAGCAACCTCTGCATCTGAGTGTCGCTTACGACACCTTCAACTACAAGTGAGTGCCCCAATGAACACCATGAACTGCAAGTAAGTCTCGAAATATGTACAATGAATTTCAGGTGGGTTTTCCAATCTTCACCATGCAATAAAAACGAATTCTGTGACTATACAATTTAGTAAGTGGGCATCTAAGATAAGCAGCTAGTAAGCTGAGAAAGTTGAGACCAATTCATGAGACGACTCAGTTGCTTGCCAATAACCTATTTCCTCCAGACTGCCGTACGAAACTTTTTTCGGTGGTGCCAACGCAATCTCTGTGGGCCACTTCCGGCAATTAAACGGCTTCAGCAACAAGTTCTGGGGCTGGGGCGGGGAAGATGATGACATGGCCAACCGCATTAAACACCATGGGCTGTCCATCTCCCGTAACCCCGCCGACATTGCGCGCTACACTATGATCAAGCACAAGAAGGAGAAACGCAGCCCTCTGAGGTTCGGTGAACAAAATTATCTCGATTTTAAATAAAATCAGTGAACCTTAGCTCGACAGGGTGTCGAAATTTGAGTGCGCTATGTTCGGAAAAATGCCATCAAATACGGCATATTTCACGGTTTTTCGCTGAGGAATCGCTGCAATTGTCGATTTTTTCGCTCAAGAATCAGAACAGGGATAGGCTTTTTGCTTTGAAATCAGAAAATTTATCGGGTCTTTGTTTAGGAATCGGGACAGGGAGCGGTTCTTCGCTAAAAATTAAAACTGGGAACGGATTTTTGCTTTGGATTTTTGAAGTTCACGGTGATGCCAAAGGCTCTCAAGTTGATAATAAATTTATAAAATTTTAGTGTCATTAAAAAAATTGCCAATCGTTCTAACTGTTGCTGCGGATTATAATGTTTGTATGCGACAGCTCTCATTGCGAATCAGTGACATTCTCAAGCATCGTCCATGGTTGAGCCTCAAGTACGAGAAGCGGTTCTTAGAGCACAACATTCACTTAGCAGAATATTTCTAATCGATGCGTTCAACATGAAGCTGTATCTCATGGACCAGGGCCTATACTTTCAAAAAATTAAGATATCGTAAGTTCATCAGCGTATCATTGACGGCCATTCGAGCAAAATCCATCAATCCTAGACAAGAAATTGAATCGTAAGTACTTACGTTCACTTAACGAGTTTTGAAAGTATGGCCCCCGACTCAGAACTCTTAGCAATATTGCAGCTCGATCTCCAAAAACCATAATTTTCATAATTTAGTATTTCTTTTAAAGATGCTGTACTCATAGCTACTGTTTTACTTCAGGAGCAAAATGGTAAGGGAGGGCCCGAGTCGCTTCACCTCAGATGGACTCAACTCTTTGCAGTACCGCGTGCTGGACATGCAGCTGCTCAGGCTATACACGTGGATCCATGCTGAGCCTTTAAATAAATAACGGCTAGCTTTAGCATATTGAGTTTTTTCTTTACCTATTCTATTTTTATTTATTTTCAAAAGTGATGACATCAATTTCGTTTCAATATTACATTGTAATAAAATGAAAAATGAATGTTCGCATTTTTTATTCGCAGTTTTATGTTTTCTTTGTGGAATTTATTTGTCGGTAGAAGGCATTTCACATGAATTTTCAGCCGGCACTACAGCACTGCTTGTGATGAAAGATCGAGGAAAAGACAGACATGTGCTTAAGGCTGCGAGAAAACTAAGTTAATTCCCAGAGTCTTGTTAGGGATGGAAAGATCCCTTTGGAAAGATCAAATTTTCGCAAGAAATGGCAGGAGACCCAGGCGGAAAAGCATGGAAACTCAGGTCAACCACTCTCACGATGTCGGTGTCGGCATATGTCCTTTGTTTTAGCCAAGACGTCATCTATTTTTATCCTCTCGTGTCTTTTTTAGCCAACTGTAACGTGCCCTCGAAGTTCGATCTGAACGAGACGCCACGAACATCTCTTCGTGGAATTATAATAATAATAATTTCAAGATAACACCGACCGCACACGGTCAGTAAGCGGAGCTGGTAGAGAAGTAAGAAGTCATGTCCGTAGATCCAGACCTGTATTTAATGTAAATAGTAAACGCATGCATCAAAGTGAAAGTGCACAAAAAGTTATAAAGTGTTTTTACGCGAACTCGGATTCCGTTTTGAACGAAAAAGTGAACTGTTAACTGTGATCGAAAACGAGTGCATAGACATTATTTGTATTACAGAAACACTCCCTAAAGATCACGGGGGGAAAATTTTACATGTTGAATTTCAGTTGCCAGGTTTTGTTTGTTTTCATAACTTAAATGAAGATCAGTGCCGTAGAGGTGTAGCTTTGTGGGTTAGAACCTCTTATGGGGCCAAGCAAATCAAGTTATCTGCAGAGCATTAATCAGCTACAGAATCAGTGTAGTTCAAACTTTCTCTCAAAACCGAAGATAACCTCCTCACAGACGTCGTGTATAGATCACCAAACAGTTCCTCTGATAACGATAAGGTACTAAAAAGTCTTTTAACGAGCATGACTTTCCGTAGGTCACACACGTTGATCGTTGGTGATTTTAATCATCCAGAGGTAGACTGGACAGATGGATCCTCTCCAAGGGATGAGGATCACCCAGCATCCTTGTTCATGGAGTCTGTGAGAAACTCCCTCCTAGTCCAGCACGTCACCAAGCCAACCCATTATAGAAGTAAACAGACTCCCAATATTCTAGACCTGGTGTTTACTAGTGATGAATCAATGTTAGATGAGCTTCGTCACGAGGCTGGATTGGGCAAAAGCCATCACCAATCATTGTTTTTCAGACTCAAGTGCTGTACAGAAAAGACGCCTCGGAAGCGTGAGCGTTTAAATTTTGCGAAAGGCGACTACGATAAACTCCATGAAGCAGTGAATGCAGTGAATATTTCTAAATGTATTAAAGGACATGAATGTGACTGAGTCATGGTCATTTCTCAAGGACACGGCTATGTCAGCAGTTGATGCATGTGTACCTAAGATTAAGCTTGGTGGAGCCAAAAAATCCGCGGATGAACAAAACAGTTCTAGTTAAGCTGAAAACAAAGAAGGAAGCATACCGGCGTTATTTACAGACTCGTAGCGATGCTGATTATAACCTATACGCAAGGGCTCAAAATAAAGCTAAAGAAAGCTGTCGCACCGCAGTAAAAACCCTCAAAAAAAATTACTAAAAATGTGAAAAAGAACCCGAAAGCCTTCTTTTTGTACGCTAACTCGAAGTGCATAAGTTAAAGGACGGTATTTCTGATTTGAAAGTAAATCAACGAAAGATATCCTCTGATGAGGGCAAGGCAAACTTTCTTAATCAGTTTTCCAGTAGCGTATTCACTGAAGAGGACTTGAACAGTACTCCAGCTATTGAGGAGCGCCCAGTCGGCTCTAAATTAACAAGTTTCAAAATACAAGAAGAAGAGGTGCTCAAGCGCCTCATCATTGTAAATCCAAACAAGTCATGTGGACCGGACGGCTTCCACCCCAGATTACTCAAAGAGTTAGCAACTGTCCTTTGACGTAATTGTTCCAAAAAACTTCGAAAGAAAAGTTTCAAAGTTTCGAAAAACTTAGCAAAAAAGGTTGAAAAAGTGTATTTCTTGCCGTGATCGAGGACGCACGTACATGTCTGCGGGTCTCAATTTTCTCACTTTTTATTACCACGTTTTTCTTGACTTCGTTTCGTGTCTGTCTGTCATAAAAAATTCAAACCTTAATTTAGAGCACTTCTAAACATCCTAGTAAGTTGAAATTTGGCATGCATGCTTATGCTGCCTAACAATTCAAGATTTGATCAACAGAAATAATAATTAAAATTTTTTTTTATTTTTAATTTTTTTAATAAAAAACACTAAAAATTCACGGTTTGGAATTGAGTTTTTTCTCGAACATCCACACTTGCCAACCCTGGAAATTGATTTGAATTGCTAAAATTGCTAACCAAAAAGTAGAAAATAAATAAATATAAAAAATATTTGTAAAAACCACGTTTTTCTGGTTTTTAAAAAACTAAATATAATGAAATAAAGCAAATAAAAAAACTTTTAAAAACCACGTTTTCTTAACGGACAAAAAAGAAAAACATTTTCTCTTACATAACATTACATAATATTTTACATAACTTAAATGTTGTGTAAGAGTAAATGTTTTTCTTTTTTGTCCGTTTAAGAAAACGTGGTTTTTAAAAGTTTTTTTATTTGTTTTATTACTATGCCGGTTTGACTATAACCTCTCGAATTTGTACCGAAACGATTTCAGGGAAAGTTTCAATTTCAGTGCAGTTCAATAAAAATGGTGCAAATAGTGAGAAAAGCGGCTAGTACAAGTGTTTTATTCCCGACAAATGCCAGTGCATGAAGCGAGGGCAAGCTTGTTGCTTGTTTGAACCCTCGGTGACCGCCTATCAACCGGAGAACAACGGTACCTTGAGCACGCTCAGGCCTCATCTTCCTTCCCCACCCTCTTGGCCCCTATCCCTACCCCTCTCTACCTGCCTGTCGCGTCGATTCCTTGATTCTTCCAGCCCACCTCTGTCTTTCCCTCGCCAGCTACAGTTCAGCTGTGCCGCCAGAGAAATTTTCGTGGGAACTTTACTATCCTCAACTCAACTCAGTTTTGCATTTTTCTCCGTCCTTTTCTCCGTTCAAGAGGTCTAGTTCGTGCATTTTATAATGGCTGGACAGAAAATAAAGAAGATAGTCGAAAAGCCCTCTACAGCTGTCTCGTGTGGAACACGAGATTATTTATTCAGAGAGATTTTTATGTCCCTGCTAGTGGCAACATCCTTTTATTCGGTGTCGGATGCTTTGACAAATAAAATAGTTGACTGAACTAGCCCCGAAGCAACATTGTCGTAAGTTTTAAAAAAAGTGATAATGTGTAATCGCTTTATTCATTTTTATTTAAGACGACCTCGCTTGTGGACAGTGAAATAATAGAAGGGAAACGTAGCTTTTAGAATCGACTCTTGTTTTCTGGTACCTTGCAGTTTTAACAAATATACCCCAAATCCTGGTGGCTGTTACACCACCTACGGGAGAAGATTTATTATCCTTGAAGTAGGCGGCACATTTAAAAGACAATCGTCTGTGGGTTCACGCAGCTGTTTATCAGGGAAACTGTTGTGCTGGACGGACTCGCATGGGGCGCAACGTTCGGAACGAACCCCGGTAACGGGGGAAGGTGCCAAACAAAAAATTTTGGCATCTGTTACTGATAGAAAGATGCAGTCCGGGCAAAAAACGAGCCTTCCGGCGTCAGTTCTCACACAGAGCTACAATCAGCAATTGGACCTTATTAAAAAATTTGTCATTTGTCAGCATTATTCCTGGTGTGACCTGGGCAACTGATGCACGGGAGTCCTGTGTTGAGCTCAAATCGCATTGGAAATGCTACAAGCGGATTTATAAGGAACTTGATGTTGCTTTCAGGACGGAAGAAGCTAGTCAAGAGGTTAGTGACCTACGCCAGGATATTGTTAGGCTATTGGAAATTTGCGGAAGCTCCGCCGAACGCCTCAAATCCGTAGCTTCAGAGCTTGATGGTTATTCATTGATCAGCTCGTTGAGTTCTCGCGTCTCCTCCGTGGGTGGACAGGAAAGAAAGGAATTTGAATCTAAACTGAGGGCCGTAAAATGCGTTAAAGAAGCCCAAGAAAAAATCGACGCAATTGAAACTCAACACAAATTACTAAAGTTAAAAGAAAAGCGAAAGATGGAAAGAGAACAAGAACTGTTTATGCTTCAGGAGGAAGTAATGGGAGTTCAGGGAAGTGTCGAAGGTGACATGGATGCGGAGAGTCTAACATCGTCTGATGACCTTTATTTTGGATCGGTTGCTGAGAGAAGAGATATGGCCGGGAGTTGGCTGTTGGCCATTAAGCGTGGGGGCACCTGTGATGCACCTGTCACTGAGGGAGGCCATCTGAATCCTCAGGCTCAATCTATGAGTCCGACAATTAAGGAAGATTTTTCCGGTTGGCCGAGAGGGAGTGACGGAAGTTGGCCTGAACAAAGGGTCATGACGTCAGCAACACAGCTTGACCCGGCGACAAAGTTTCTTCTACTCACCGATTTTAAAAGGCACCTTCCTCTCCGTATAATGGGGAGCCTAGCTATTCATTTCATCGATGGATGACTTCGTTACGTCGGAAGTTCGCCACCCTCGAAGTCGAGTCACTTGATGCAATAGAAGTCATGGAATCTCATACAACTGACAAACCCAGAGAGCTTGTCAGAACTCTCGGTTCTAACATGGGAAGTTACCCAAAGGCTGTCGTCATCATGATCTTGTCGGAGCTGGAGAAGAGATTCGGATCTAGTAAAGAAGTGTGCCGCGGTCTGCGCCTGAAACTGTCAAATTTCCCGGAGATTAAGTCGAAGAAAAATATTGGAGAGGCTTTAAGGCAGTTGAGCGATTTTTGTAATGTAGTTCTCAACCACATGCCCACCGTACCGGATCTAAGCATACTAAATTACACCATCGGCATTCAGGAAATTAGAACCAAATTACCCAAATTTCTAAATAACGAGTGGGCCAAAATTAGGTACATTTACGAGGACTAAAACAAAATTCATCCACCGTTCTCAGTATTTGCCGACTTCCTTTGAACCAAAACCAATATTATCTGCGACAACCAGGTTAACTCAGCTAGCGGCGCAACCAACTCCAGCGAGATTTGCAAGGTATCGTTGGACGGACGAGACACGGGCATTCAGCTCAGGTCGAAGCAATATCCCAGAAGTGAGTGAATCAGGTTGTCCGTTGCATAAAACCCTCGGTCACGATCTTTCGAATTGCACTTCATTCCTTAAAATGGACGACCAAATCAAACTACTGTTTTTATTCAGCCACGATAGGTGCAACCGCTGTGCTGGAAAGCATCTTTCGACTAATTGTTCGTATGAACTGATTTGTCTCAAATGTGCCGGTAAGCACGCAATGTTCTTACATTACGATCTACGAAATAAAGACAACGTACACGATCGTGGCAACGCTGGCGGGGGCGAAGTTCATTTGACAACCGAAGCAACCAAACAAAGCCAATATAGCGCGAAGGTTTGAGTCGACACGCGCGTGCACCGCGCGCTGACGGCGCATCCGGCGTTAGATCCAGCTCAGAGGCTCAGGAGGCTCCGGTGTTTTTGTGCACATCTATTTGCGGATCCGCTGAGGGTCGCAGCTGCAGCAAGACCGTTCTGGTAGATGTTTACTTTGCTGGGTTTCCATCGGTGTAATTTTGCACTTAGGGAGGCGCCCATTGACGAACAGTCTTCGCATAGCTTCGCAACGTCTGAGTTGTTCGACTTTTTTAAAATTAGGTCCATGCGTCCAATCGTATTCAGTGAGCACTCTGGCTGGGAGCAAGATTTCGATGTCCAGAAGAATAGCATCAGACTTGTCAATAAAGGGAGTGAGCGAGGACACTGAGTTTGCACTGCCACGGCTTTCCGAAAATTCCATCATCCCAGACGGGAAAGAAGAGATAGCAACGGTGGAAGAGGTTGCTCGCCATCCTACATTGTTGCACTTATCTCATTACTTTTTGCCGCTGGACGATAGTGCCCAGTTGCTCTGCTGATCGGGCGAAATGCTGGCGACTTGATGGCGACTGTTACTTGCGGAACTAAGGCGCCCATTGCTCACCACACTACATTGGGATGGGCTGTTGTGGGGTCCTTGTGCCCGTGGGGCGTAAACTCGGCCCATACGACGAGCATGTGCGAAAAGCATCCCAGTGCAGATTCGGAGTTTACATAAGCGTCTCCTATCTTTCAGAGATGTGGTTATGATGAGTTCCTGGGGACCTCGGCAAATGATAGGAAATTCCTTTATCAAGTTGTACCTAACCTACGCAGAAACAGCCAAGGATACATCGAGGCCCCGCTGCCTTTCAAGTGTGAAAATCAACAAATGCCAAATAATCGGCAAGCTGTTTACTGCCGCCAGCGCGGAACTCTACGTCGTCTGCAGCGGGGCCCAGATAAGCTTGCAACATGTGTGGAAACGATGCAAAAATACATCAATTTGAGTCAGGTGGAATGCATCCCTAAATGTGAGCTTCGCACTGTAGGCGGCCGTTTGTGGTACGTTCCCGTATTTCCGGTCACTCATCTCAGGAAAAGTAAAGTAAGATTGGTGTTTGACAGCGCCGCCGTGTACGACGGACTAAGTTTAAATTCTGTCCTACTGCAGGGAGCTAACTGTAATAATTCTTTGTGGGGCGTATTGCTGAGATTTAGAGTGGGAGCTGTGGGATTCATCGCCGATATTGAAAGTATGTTTCATTCTTTTCGTGTACCTGTCTCTGCTAGAAATTATTTAAGGTTTTATTGGTTCTGCGATAACAAAATTGGGAACGATTTGGTGGAATACCGCGTCAATGTTCTTGTTTTTGGCAACACGTGCTGCCCGGCAATTGCAGGGGTGTGTCTTGGCGCTGCTGCCCGGGGAACCCTTGCTCGCCATCAGGCACAAGGTGATCCACTTAGCTCGAACTTGTCAAAATGATACTTGAGAGAAAGCTCGTGGCTTCATTCGCAGCAATTTTTGACGACGGATTGGGTTGTGCATCCTCCGCCGAAGAAGCAGTCAGTGTTTTAAACTCAGCGCGGAGTCTGCTGGCAGCACACAATATCCGTCTGCACAAAATTATTAGTAACTGCCCAGAAGTCGTCAAAGCTTTCCCGGCTTCTGAGGTAGTGTGTGCAGATGCCGACGTGAAGTTTGATGGAAAGCAGACACAGCGGACCCTTGGTGTGGCGTGGTCGGTTATGCGCGACGAGTTTGCACTAAAAGTTGACATGATGCAAAACCGTTCAGCAAAAGAGGCATCTTATCAACAATAAATTCATTTACGACCCAATTGGAATAGCTAGCCCAATGGTTTTGAGGGGCCGTCTCGTTCAGCGACGAATTTTGAGATCGCAGCCTGGTGACGAGTCTCTCGTGAATTACGACTGGGATGATGAGTTGCCAGAGGGTTTTCTGGCTGATTGCAATCTCTGGTTGTTGACATAAGAGTCACTGAAGTCTATTAAGATACCTCGATCATTTGTTCCTGCTGGGTTCAAGGTTGCGAGGCGTGTTCTGCATGTATTTTCAGATGCATTGTTAAAGACCGTTGGAAACGTTATTTACCTTAAGGTGGATAACAATAGTGGCGAGAGTCGCGTTTCTTTCTTGAGGGGTGAGAGTAAGTTGGCCCCAAGAGCAGCAACGTCAATTCCTCGGCTGGAGTTGTGCGCTGCTATGGAGGCCGTTCTCGCTGCCGGACGTGTGGGGTAAGTGAACTGGAGGCTCGAGTGGATGATGTTAGATATTATACGGATAGCAAGGTGGTTCTAGCCTACATTAAAAATACTGAAAGCCGTTTTCAGAGGTACGTAACCAGGCGTATAGAGATTATCCTCGACAGCAGTAGACCTCACCAGTGGCGGTACGTTTCGACAAACCCGGCCGACTTCGCTTCTCGGCCCACCGATCCCATTTCTCTGATGAAATCATGTTGGCTATCGGGCCCGCGATTCCTCTCGAATCCTGGCAGCGATGAAGACAAGATTCGGTGGCTCGCAGATAACGAGCGCGTCGTCTTGCCAGAGGAGCTACCAAAAATTACCAAACTGAAGTCATGTTCGACCACTTCACCTATCTTCCAAAGTTTGCTTGCTCGTCTCAGTTCATGGGACAGAGAGGTGGCGGTCGTAGAGCTGATCATGCGGTTCACCGGTATGTGGTGTGATAAAGTTAGACAGGCCCATGGAATCCACCTGGCTTCACGTTCTGGCATGGATATGCGGGACTTTGCAATCGAGCATGTGTTGAGAGAGACTCAATACGCTGCATATTCTGACGCCAATCATTGTATTAGGGCGTCTGGACAGATGCGACAGTCTCACAGACTTGCGAGTCTGGCACCATTCCTAGACAAGCGGGGCATATTGCGCGTAGGAGGCCGGCTAACACAATCAGAGATGTCAAAATATGTGAAACACCCGTGTGTGTTACCGAGGGATCACCCTTTGACATTGCTGGTGCTCGCCAAATATCATCGACTCAGTGGCCATCAAGGTAGGCACATTACGCATGGAGCACTTCGGCAAGGGGGCTTTTTTATCGAACGTTGCAGCCAAGTAATTCGTAAGTTTCTCAAGAGCTGCGTTATATGCCAAAGACTTCGCGCCAACTGTGAAGTACAACAAATGTCTGATATACCACCGGATAGAACGAAATCTGAAGCTGCTTCCACGTACTGCGGGTTTAATGTCGCAGGACCTTGGTTTGTGAAAGACGGCCCTGTAACTAGAAGGAACACCTCGCCAAAAAGATTTGGGTTCTTTTATTTACATGCATGTGCTCTCGGGCAATTCACATAGAGACTTTGCCGTCACTTGATACAGTTTCCTTCATTAATGGTTTCAGGAGATTCATCGCGGTGCAAGGTTCCTGCAAAGTTATTTGAAGTGACAGAGGCTCTAATTTCATTGAAGCCGCCAACCAGGAACCCAGATTGGATTTCAGTGCCATCGAGAGGGGACTTGCCGGTTCTCGATGCAACTGGGTGTTCAGCCCTTCCCTTGCTTCTCATTTTGGAGGAGTATGGGAAAGAAAAATTGGACAACCGGCCAGCGAACGCTTGATAGAGACGAGATGAACACCTTTCTACAGGAGGCGGCTGCTGTGGTCAATAGCACCCCGCTATGGGAAGTAAGTGACGACCCAAATGACCCACAGCCCCTATCGCCTTTCATGCTCCTCACGATGAAACAACCGGATGATGGTAATATCTGCTACACGGAAAGCGAACTCCTAGCGTACGGCTCTCGGAGATGGAAGAGGGTCCAGTATTTAGAGGATCAATTTTGGAAACGATGTAGGCTGTATTAGCTGTCGGAACTCCAGAGCCGTCAGAAGTGGTTCTTGAAGGGCTCTTCTTTGAGGCCCGACGACGTGGTTCTCATGAACCACGTCGTCGTCTTGGCTGCCTCGTCTTGGCTGCTGTCGTCTTGGCCATGAACCACGTCTTGGCTGCCTCGTGTCCGAGGCAGCCAAGTTCGACGCCGTTGATAAGGATAAGAAATTGTGAGTGGGGAGTGTGGTGCGAGTGGGGATGTGGTGTGAGTGGGATGTGCTGAGAGGTTGTGAGTGGGCAATGTGGTGTGAGTGGGTAATGCGGTGTGAGTGGGATGTGGGGAGAGGTTGTGAGTGGGGAGTGTGTTGTTAGTGGGGAGTGTGTTGTGAGTGGGGAGTGTGTTGTGAGTGGGGTGTGGTGATAGGTTGTGAGTGGGGAGTGTGCTGTGAGTGGGATGTGGTGATAGGTTGTGAGTGGGGAGAGTGCTGTGAGTGGGATGTGGTGGGAGGTTGTGATTGGGGGTGTGGTCATTGATAGTGAGTGGGGGGTGTGGTGATAGGTAGTGAGTGGGAGGTGTAGTGATACTGGGATTTTTCATGTCTTTTTTATTTCAGCGTGAAATTTATCTGTGCTTCTTTTAGTTCTATAAAATTCTAACGCCGATTGTTATCATTGAATAATAATTTGAATGTACATGCGTATATTATTATTCAATGAAGATCATTACCTTGCTAATATTGTCTTGCTGTGGAATATTTCACTAATTATATTCGTGCAGACAATGGCGCCTGAAGAAGCGTCTGCAGAAGCTGCAGGAGGCAGGCAAGGTGAACACAGAGCAGGCGGAGACGCTGCGGCAGGAGCTGGCAGAAGTTAAGCAGCGTCTGCAGCAGGTGGAAGACGCAGAGATAAAAGACTTCAATAAAGCAGAAGGCAAGAAGAGGCACCGCAACGCTAAGACCATAGAGAGAGTCAAGAGATTAAAGACTGCCAAGTATTTGCGTTAATTATTTCCCTTGTACGCTCGAAGACAAATAATGAGATGTGATGTGGTAGCCTGCAATGATGAGCCGTGCAGTGGTAGCCTGCAATGATGAGCCGTGCAGTGATAGCCTGCAATGATGAGCCGTGCAGTGATAGCCTGCAATGATGAGCCGTGCAGTGATAGCCTGCAATGATGAGCCGTGCAG